ATACGGACCTGCAAGGATACAACCTAACGCACACACATAATAAGACAACAAAGCTTGGAGAGACGGTTTTAACAAAGCAGCCAACTTCCCCTTGTCCGACCTATCAATGGAGGGAAATTAGACGGGGTCATGACCCCTCTAGTCGTTTCACAATCACCACTCTCTCGTGTTGCTACCATATATCTGCCGTACAAACAGTGCTCTGAAAAAACATTAGTCTAAATTTGACGGTTTACACTGCGAAAAAAAAAAAAAAAGAACTCCAGAGCGCATTTCCACATGTGGACTCCTCTGACTTTTTATTGGATCTCACGCTTCTCGTAATGCGCCCAGATGAGCCGGGGTAAGGCATGGCGACCGGGGGTGATGAAGTTCAAGCATCTCTTATTTGAAAGTATGGGAATGATGTCTCATTAAGACGGCGAGTGTGTGCTAAGTGGGAAGGCCTGAGGGCGAAGGGAAGGAAGAAACACTTGATATTCTGAACTGGCCTCGGCAAAATATTCAAGAAACAAAGGCTGGATTTAGAGCTATATTCATGCCTCTATTTGGTTTAGTTTTACATTTCAAGTGACACATGAACCTCCTTCACATGAGGCTAATCAAGAGTAGACTACGAGTTAGCTTGCTAGCACTAACGAACATGACATCATACAGAGACAAATAAGTATATGCCCTAGCACTTTACACAAATGACATTATCCATCCGTCCATTTTCTAATCCACTTCTCCTCACAAGGGTCGCGGGGTGTGCTGGAGCCTATCCCAGATGTCTTTGGGTAGTCGGCGGGGGACACCCTGAACCGGTTGCCAGCCAATCGCAGGGCACACACAGACGAACAACCATCCCAGCTCACACCTCGGGACAATTTAGAGCAGGAGTCGGGAACCTATGGCTCGCGAGCCATCGATGGCTCTTTTGATAATTGCATTTGGCTCGCAGATAAAACAAAATATCCTCGCTTGTTTAATAAATCCATCGACTTTTCACTGGTCGTGTCCTGCAGTTGGCAGGGGCAATTTTAATTGGATAATACTGGCTTACGTCGGCTGTTGCTGTGGCAACAGGTAAACGCCCCCTTTTGAATCAGCCCGCTCAGTCATTAGCTCAAAGCTAATCCTTCGACGAATAAGATGGCGAAAAGAAAAGAAGATAACAAGTATGGTGCACTTCAGGACGAATGGACCGAAGGATTCGCCTTTGTGGAGGGAAGAGGTTCTGCGGTGTGTCTAATTCGCAATTACAACATACCATCGATGAAACAGTCGAATGTAAAGCGGCATGCTACGTTTGCATCAAAACACACTATGAGAGAGAGCAGAAAGCAAGCGTGCAAGCTACTGAGCAGGGTCCAAGCTAGCCACCAGCAGGAACTCCGGAAAACTGACTATAATCCCGCAAGTTTTGCTGGATCTTTCGCAATCGTGGGGAACAGAAAACCATTCACATTAATGGTAGTAAGTATTAAAACAAAATTATTGAAGAGAATACATTCAGAGGTGTATTATACTGACATTTTGTTGAATTCACTTTTAAAATACAGTTTGTGTATTTTAAAAGTGAATATATATATGGCTCTCACTGAAATACATTTCCAAATATTTAGCTTTCATGGCTCTCTTAGTGAAAAAGGTTCCCGACCCCTGATTTAGAGTGTTCAATCAGCCTGTCATGCATGTTTTTGGGAATGTGGGAGGAAACCGGAGTACCCGGAGAAAACCCAAGCAGGCCCGGGGAGAGCATGCAAACTCCACACAGGAAGGCCGAAGCCGGAATCAAACCCTGCACCTCTGCACTGTGAGGCCAACGCACTAACCAGTCGACGACCGTGCCTCCCCAAATGACATTACCTCACTAAAATTATCTTTTGGCATTTATAAACAATAATAAATGTTAGGTAGTCGTAGACTACACTCCTAAAATATGTAGCTGAATTGGGAGAGAAGCAGAAACAGTCTTTCATTTTTAAAAGTGCACTTTTCACCAACAAAACAGGACATTCCGAAAGCAGTCCAAAAAATACTATCTATAAATTAAACCTGTGAAATGGTACATAGTATTTTCTGTGGATGTAAAAGTCATTCAAATACAAGTTGTTGGGCAGCTACATAATTTTAGTTCTTTATTTTTTTTATTTATTTATTATCCCACTCAAAAAGATTCAAAGGAATTTTTCAGGTTATAAGTCACATTAATGGTGAAAAAGGTTTTTAAATGATTTATCTTGCATTTCATTTTTATGACGTCAGAAAAACCTGGCATTTGAACAGTGGTGTGTCGACTTTTTGTATAAAACGTACATTGTGGTCAGCTAGTATCAGATTTTCCAGTATAACGATATATTTCAGACTGATACCATTACAAGTATTCACTCCGAGAACTCTACAATACATCTCGTACATTGGTTATATAAAATTACCTTTCTTTCTCATGCAGATATTGATTCGAAGATGTGTCAGACTGCCACAACATCACACAAACTAGAGCAAAATGTCAGATTTTACTAGCCTTAAGTATCACCGGCTTGTATTGGCAGCCTCTACGAGTACCCAAAACCATAAAATAAGGCCAGTGATCGGCCTGATACCTGGTATCGGTGCTCACCCGTACCTAAACATACATACAAAGTATACATCATATTTATCTGGATCGTCTTCATGTCTCACTAACATAAAAAAATAGTACATCTCCTTAATATTAATGTATGGATATCATACTACTGATAGGATGCCCAGTGGGGTACATTGGGGTTGTCTAGCATTGAGCAATTCTGATGACAATAAGTCTGCAACATACCAACAGCTGTTTATAATATTTTGACCACCCTCATATTGCTAACTACAGTAAATATTGGAACCAGCTGTCACACCACAACCACAATAATAAACAGATCATCAGATTGATCACAAATGATTAAAAATGCAGCAATTCAACAACAGGAAAGTGAGGAGTCTCCGAGCATCTCTCATTCGATCCCGCAGGTGTGCCTCGTTTTGTACACGCATTTGCGTTTCATTTGAGGGGAGGCCTCAAAAGGTGCGTCATGAACACAAACATCAGGCCAAAGCTTCAGTTTTAGCCTCTCTGCCCTCAGCATCATCTAAGATGGGGCTTAAGAGGTCGTCCACATTTAATGGCCACTTATTGCCTGTGGAGAACTTCTCGGTCATATCAGGGAACCAGCTGGGACTACCCCCAGTGCCAAAACAGCCCCCGGGCTCACAAGTAGAACTGGTCCACACACACACACACACACACACACGACACATACTTTTTTCAATAACTCCCTCTTAGATACTTAGTCAAGCCACCAAAAACAGTGAACTTTCTAAAGCAGGGGTGGGCAAAGAGTTCTGGACAACTGGTTATTCGAATGTACTTATTTATGTACTGTATGTATTATTATTATGATGATTATTATTCTTTTATTCCATTAAATGACGGATCAATTCATGTATTCTAAATAGTGAAATGTAACCATTTTACAAAAAAAATCAAAAATGATATTGATTAAATATTTGTGTTTTATTTTTTTTAAAACTAGTTCATTACACTTCAATTAATTACAATTCAGTAGATTAAAAATAAAACGTTGAAACATTTATCTGATTAACCATTTGTTCTTAATACAAAGTAAGACAATTTTACAAATACCCTGTATATTTAAAAATATGTTTCATTTTAAAATATTTATTTATTCAATGGTTAGTTAATTATACTTAAATTATAACTCTATATTGAATTAAAACATTGATTTAATTTAAAAATTGATAAATTTCTGAATTTTAAATAATAATTAATATTAGTAAAGTGTACCAATTTTTAAAATACACAAATACATAATTCATCTTTCAATTATGTGTTTAGATTTTTTAATTGGTGATTTAATCACACATACGTTATATTCTATTAATTATAAAGTATTCAATTAAAACATGCAACTCATTAAATAATTGACAAAAATCCTAGCTGTGAACAACACAATTTAAAAAATATTTGTCAAATGTAAACTGTTCCCTTGCTTTTCTTTTGTCCAACGAATCAATGTGGGAATTTAGGAAAGTGAGGGAATGCATTAAACATTTATAGTTATATTTGTTACTATTTTTTATTTCATTTATGAAATACTTGGCCAATCAATTGAATGAAATAGTTAAATAAAAATAACAGAATTAAATATGAAAATGAATGACTATTATGTTACGTGCATAATTTTATTGTTATCCATCCATCAATTTTCCGGGTGCTGGAGCCTATGCCAGTCGTCTTTGGGGACGAGGCGGGGGACACCCTGAATCGGTTACCAGCCAATCTCTACACTGTGAGGTCAACGCGCTAACCACTGGACCACCGGGCTGCCCAAATTTTATAATAATGATAATAATAATAATAATAATCATAATAATCATAATTATTATTATGATTATTATTATAGTTATTATATTATATTATTTTTATACCTTTGCTGCCCTCCAGTGGTTCTTCTCCCTTATATTATACAATAATAATAATAATAATTATTATTATTATTATTATTATTATTATTATTACAAACACATTTTACTTTTTTGCCTAACTTATTAATGAGTTGGCCCATCTGTCCCTTTTAAAAATCAAGTGTGGCCCTTGTGCACAAAGGTTTGCCCACCCCTGTTCTACCAGGACCTTTTTTAAAATCTATTATATTCATATTTGGAGATAAGACAATACTGCAAGTAAGAATGGCATGGAGCGAGGCCGTCTTACACAACGTCCAACAAAATAGATGTTTAGAAAACCTCAGAACTATGTTGAAAAAGTGAATAAATTAGGGGATAAATGCATTAAGTGGCTCTATTGTGTGTGTTACTTGGACTGTGTGTCACCATCTCTCACTTCCAGCATGGATCTTGATCTCATTAATATCCCTGACAAATGCCAGCACATGAGTTCATGAGAGTTCATGAACTCCCACAACAGAACTACAAAAAAAAAAAAAAGCGCTTGAGATGTTACTCACCTCGGCACGCTGCGTCCTGGGCTGGCTCGCGTCCGTCTCAATTGCGTACACGTCCACCAGGTAGAGGTCTGAGCCTTTCTCCCTGTCGAGCTCCGCCGCCGTCTGTATGACTCCGGTGTGGCGTCCGATGGTGAAGAGGCGTCCGGCGGCTTTTCCACCGCTGCGCACCGCCACAATGAAGTACTCCACTTTTCCACCGGGGCCTCGCGGACTGGAGGCGTCCAGGGAGATCACGTTGGTGCCTGGCGGCTGGCCCTCCTTGAGGATGGTGATGTACTTTGGCTGCGTGAATACGGGGCCATCCAGGCCCTGGAGGATGATGGTCATGTCGGTCCTGGAGGTCTTGCGCTCACTGCCATGATCAGTGGCAGACACGGTGAGCGTGTACACGAGGCGGGAGGGCACCAGCTGTGAGGCAAGGCGGATGTCGCCGCTGTAGCGGTCCATGACAAATGTGTCCGAGTCGCCCTCGACCAGCTCGTACTCCACTTCCCCATTTTCTCCCTCGTCGGGGTCAAAAGCCACCACCGTCGTTAGGATGGAGCCGATTACAATGTTGGGCTCGGCCACGAGGGCATTCTGGGACACGAAAGTGGGGATGTTGTCATTGATGTCCGTGACCCATATCGTCACATTTTTAAGGGCAAAACGTCGGAATTCAAATGGCACAGCCTGGTCGGTGGCCTTTACCGTCAACTCAAACAGGTTGGAAAATTCCCTGTCCACCTCCTTGGTGGTGTAGATGAGACCGGAGCTCGGGTCGATGCTGAAGTGGCCTCCTCTGGGGACCTGCTGAACAATGGAGTACTCCAACTGCCCGTTGATATCTGCGTCCGTGTCATGAGCTGTAATTGTCATGACCGAGGCCGAGATCGGAAGATTCTCCGGGATGGACTTGAAGATGTCCCCGGGAGTGAAGATGGGAGGGTTGTCGTTGAAATCCCGAACATGTATGATGACAGGAATTGAAGAGGAGCGCTGGGGTCGGCCGTTGTCCTTCGCTGTGACGTTGAGCTTGTAAAACGACTGTGTTTCGTAGTCCAGCTTTTTGAACAGAAAGATGCTGCCCGTGTTGGGACTAATGCTGAATGTGCCGTGGTTGTTTGTGGCGGTGATGCTGTACGTTATTTCTGCATTCAAGCCAGAGTCAGCGTCGCTCGCCGTCACGGAGGCCACCAGCTCGCCGATTCTCATGTTTTCCTGCACGTCCACAGACAGTAAGGATTTGGGGAAGGTCGGGGTGTTGTCATTCTCATCCAGTACACTAATGCTAAGCATACAGGAGGAGGATAATGGCACAAAGCCAGCATCAACAGCGATTATTTTCAGAGAATAGGAGGCTGTTGATTCATAGTTCATTTTGCCGACTAATGTGACTTGTCCTGAGCTCTCATCAATGGTAAACTGTCCCTCCTCATTGCCCTCAGTGATGTGATAATGAACCAGTCCATTGTTGTTTTCGTCGACATCAGAGGCGGAGACGCGTAGCAGCTGGGTCATGTTCTGCGCCGACTCAGAGATGGAGGCCTGGTAAATGTCTTTGGTGAACTTAGGTGCATTGTCATTGATGTCTTGTATGTAAACCTGCACTTTGGCCTGGTCTCTTAGGGGTTTAGGGAGACCCTGGTCGGCCGAGATGACGACGAAGCTGAAGGCAGCGGCGCCTCTTTGTCTCACGAGCGACTCACGGTCCAATTGCAGTGTGCTCGTCAACTCCCCCGTGATGGCGTTCAACTCGAAGTTGGGCTGCGGAGTCTCAAACGAGTATCTGACGTCGCTGTTTGGCCCAAAGTCTTTATCCTCGGTGTGGACCAAGCCGACCAGCGAACCCCTCGCCTGCTCCTCCTCAAAGTGAAAGACGTAATTGGTGCTGTTAAACAAGGGGCGGTTGTCATTGACGTCCTCTAGGATCACGCTGACATTGACGGTGGCGCTTAGCGGTTCCACGGCGCGGTCTGTAGCCACCACCACTAAGTTATATCTGTCCTGCAGCTCCCGGTCCAGCTCTGCTTTGATGTACAGTTGCCCATCTGGGAAAATTCCAAAGATGTCCCCCGTGTTGCCGCCAATGATGTCATACATGATCTCCCCATTTAGGCCTGAGTCTTTGTCAGTGGCCTCTACTGTGAAGAAGCGGCTGTTGACAGGTTCCGACTCCAGGATGGCGACCTCATAGGAGAACTGGCCAAACACAGGCGAATTGTCATTCACGTCGTAAACGCTGATGATAAGCACCAAGCTGGAGGTGTGCCGGGGGACCCCCGTGTCCGAGGCCAAGACCTCGATCTCGTAGGATGTGGTGGTGACCTCCAGAGGCCCGGTCAGCGTGATAAGGCCGTGCTTCTCGTGGATGTGAAACAGTCCTCTGGGGTTTTGCTTGAGGCTGTAGACCACCATGCCGTTGGCGCCCTCGTCGGGATCAGATGCCTTGGCTTGGAAGATTATGTGACCCATGCTCCAGTTCTCCACGGCGCTCACATGCTCCACAGAGTGAATAAAGTGGGGGGCATTATCGTTCAGATCCTTCACTGTGATGTTGACAAAGGCCTCTCCTGTTATTTCACCTGCTCTGGCTACAACCTTCAGGTGATAGAAGCCCTGCTCTTCTCGATCTATTTGACTGGACGCAGTGATTTGACCGGCTGGGTTTACAGCAAAAATCCCTCTCTGGTCCCCCGAGGTGATCAGATAGGAAATGTTCGAGTTTAGATCAACAGTGGTGGCCGACACGGTCCCTATGACTGTTCCCGAGCCCACGTTCTCAAACACGACAAAGCTGTAAACTTTCTGGCTAAAGATGGGTGGATTATCTTGTGTGTCTATTACAGTCACAGTGACAATGGCGTGGGTGTGCGAGTGCAGCCCACCGCCATCTGCAGCTGCCACCTGCAGCTGATAAGTGGTTTTGACTTCTCTGTCCAACGACGCCAGTGTGGTAATTTTACCTGTGTTGCTGTGAATGTGAAATTTGGAGGTGTCGCCTGCTGTGATGATATATTTCACTGTGCCGTTGCGACCCAAGTCGGGGTCTGTGGCAGAAACAGTAGTGGCAAAAGTGCCCGGGGGCTCGTTCTCTTTCACATTCGCAAAATACTGCACAGGGTAAAAAACGGGCCTGTTGTCATTGATATCCCTCAGGGTGATGTTGACTTTTCCAGCAGAGTGCAACGGGGGCGTGCCTGTGTCTGCTGCCTGGATGTGGAGCAAGTAAGAGGCCTGATCCTCCCTGTCCAGCTCCGCGGCTGTGCTCAAACGCCCTGACGAGGCGTCCAGGCGAAACAGCTTGCGAAGGCCGGGCGCCGTCTCGGCGTCGAATGAGAAACGGACTGTCCCATTCTCGCCCAGGTCGTCATCAGAAGCTGAAAGCACAAGCAGCTCTGTGCCGGCCGGTGCGTGCTCCACCAAGGAAACATGATACATTGTCTGTGTAAACGTGGGCACTTGGTCATTCACATCAGTAATGCTCACAATGAGCTTCGTGTAAGAAATCTTGGGCTGCAGCCCCTGGTCTTTGGCACTAATGTTAAGAACAACTTGCGATGCAACCTCCCTATCCAACAAAGCGGCGCTGGTAACCAGGCCGCTGTTTTCGCTGATGGTGAACCAGCCCAAAGTGTTTCCAGACACCAGCGAGTAGCGTAGGTTGGCATTTTGCCCGGAGTCGCCATCTGTTGCAGAGACCCCTTTTATGTAGCTGCCTTTGGGGATGTCTTCGTTGATATCAACCCTATACAGCGCCTCCTGGAATATCGGCGGGTGGTCATTGATGTCATTGACGAATATCACAAGACTAGCAAAAGACGAGCGCGCCACTGGCTTGCCATTGTCTGACACCGACACTGTTAGGTTGTATGAGGAAATTCGCTCCCTGTCCAACACGCTGGCCACTTTGATCAAACTCAAATTGGGCACAGGGGACGTGTGCACCTCAAAATGTCTTTGCTCATTACCACCTAAGATGGACACAGAGATGTTACCGTTGGCAGTGGGGGAGTCTGAATCAGACACTGTGAGCAGTGCTACCACTGTGCCAATTTGTGCATTTTCATCAACAGAGGCAAACTTGGATGTGGTGGGGAAGTACCTGAACTTCACCACAGGGTCGTTGTCATTCACGTCCAACAATTTGACGGTTGCCTCCGTTCTACCGGACAACGACGGTGCCCCACTGTCCACCGCGTGGACAGTCAGCGAATACGCCTTCTTACTTTCATAATCCAAACTTTGTTTTATGATAAGTGTCCCGTCTTTGGGGTCAATTTGAAAGGGGGTGCCCTCGTCTAGGTAATACCTGATCTCTGCGTTGGTCCCATCGTCCTGATCGGACGCCGTGATTTGCAGGATGCTGGACCCCACCGCGGCATCCTCAAACACGCTCGCCTCATACTGTTCATGCTCAAATGCAGGCGGGTTGTCATTGATGTCCTGGATGGTGACGTTCACCTGCAGATAGCCAAACTTCTTAGGGTCCCCCTTGTCCTCCACTTCGATGAGCAGCTGGTAGAAGGGCGTGAGCTCCCGGTCCAGGCCCCCTGTCGACACCAGGTGCAGGAATGCGCCCTCGCCACTGGGATTGACGGTAATATCCAAGCGGAATTTCCTCTGTTGGTTTCCCTTCACGATTCTGTAGGTGGTGTGGTCCACACCGTTACTCCCAATGTCAGAGTCGGTTGCTGTGTCCAAGATTACCTGCCGGCCGCTGCTGGCATCCTCCTTGAAAGACACCACGATAGATGCATCCGGGAACACGGGCGCGTTGTCGTTAATATCCAACACCACGATCCTGACCTCCGTAGGGTAAGTAGGCTGACTGGAGAGCACCACCACGTTGATGACATCGCTCTGCAGCAGCTCCCTGTCCACCACAGACGAGGTGGAGATCACTCCCGTGCTGCCGTTGATGGCGAAAAGTCTGTGGCTCTCGCTGAAGCGGTACGTGAAGCCGGCGCGGGTCTCTATCTGACCCACGTAGGTGCCCGCGGGCTGCTCCTCCAGCACGCGGAACTCTTGGCGGACTTGCGTGGATGCCGAGTAGCGCGACAGAGTCCACAGCAGCAGCAGGAGTGAGTGAAGCCGCGCCATGGTCAGGTCAGCCAGCCCGGTGCAGCTTGATGCATCCACGCTACAGCATTATAATCCAAACGTTCCGAACGTGGAACCTGGAAACTTAATTTGTCACGGTGATCTTCTTTTGAGCACTTAACTCCAGCGTCGACGTGCACTCCTCATCAATACGGCATCCACGGGATGGTGAAAAGCATTCCCGCAACACACAAGAAACTTTTCCACCCTCCCTCTCTCGTTTATTTCCCCCCAAAAAGGAGCATCGAATTGTCACTCAAAGTATCCGCGCGTAAAAGTGGATCCGGGGAGCTGCGCGCATCCGTGGAGGGATACGAATAACGGTCCACTCACGCTTGCACTCAACATTGCGCCGCTACTCGGCAAAGTCTCACTAGAAAAAGTTAAAACAAAGCTGGAGTCGGGGCAAACTCCCTCCCACTGGCGATCCCATTGGACGGGGGTGAGCGCGCTCGCACCGCCTCAGTCACTTTCCATTGTTACATGCACACGCACGCACACATCATTCACGGGCGTCATCGCACACTTACTGTTCCTCCTGCTACTACAGGATCTGTCAATCATGTTGCACGCAGGTAATTATACCCTTCATACATCTCACAATTGCGCCTGTAAATCAGAATAAGTGTTTCGAAACTCCCAAAAACACAAAAAGCAATGCATTTTCAAAAGATTACAACATAAATTCCTTCATCAAAATGTAATCACGCATTCAGTCATGTATAGGGTGAACACATGTATTTTTAAAACAATTTCCATTGTCATTTGGGGGGGAAAAACTTGATTGGTTGGTTAAATTCATGCCACAGGTAGAAGACAATTCACTCTAAAACACAACTATTTAATTTAAAAACTGCGTTTCTTTGTAAAAGTTTTATTTCCTTTCTTTGACACAAATATAAAAGGCATTTCCATACGTGCATGCTCAGTACCAGTTCCAGTTTATGGTACACTTTTATAGATGGGTAAATTGCATCACCTAGAGGCTAAAAAGTGCTACAGCAACATTACATGGAGAGACTGTATTTCAAGTATAACATAGTGTATATCTAGGTGAAAACATTTTTGTTTTGACTGACCAAAATATGAAAACATTGTTTTCCCAAAACGACAGACTTTAATTACCTATTTCACTATAATTAATGTCACGTTGCTATTAAAGTTAATCTCAAAGTGTAAAGTGCAATCATCCAAATCAAGACCAGATGAATGGATGATAAGGAAGAGAAGATTAAGAATCCAAAAGGAATAATGATTAACAAAGTGACGTAATTGTAATAATAAAATATACAATCTTATAATGTTACAACTATTACTAATGCTATCAGTTACTGATGTTACTAATGCTGGTAGTGTTACTGTTTCTAATGTTAATAATGTTGTTAATGCAGCAATGAGACAGCTCGCTATCTATCTGGATGCAAAATAGGACATGAGTCAACTCCAGTAATTGAATTAAGGACTGACAGACACAGGCGAGAAGAGAGAGGGAGGGAAAGAGAGAGAGAGAGAGAGAGAGAGAGAGAGAGAGAGAGAGAGAGAGAGAGAG